CGTCTCCGCCGGGGGCCGGCGCTTCGCGAGGCGCCCTCTCCCGCAGCGGGGCCGGGCGGGCCACCATGACCGAGAACTCCGCGTCCGCGCCTGCGGCCAAGCCCAAGCGGGCCAAGGCCTCCAAGAAGGCCACAGACCACCCCAAGTACTCAGACATGATCGTGGCCGCCATCCAGGCGGAGAAGAACCGCGCCGGCTCCTCGCGCCAGTCCATCCAGAAGTACATCAAGAGCCACTACAAGGTGGGCGAGAACGCCGACTCGCAGATCAAGTTGTCCATCAAGCGCCTGGTCACCACCGGGGTCCTCAAGCAGACCAAGGGGGTGGGCGCCTCGGGCTCCTTCCGGCTGGCCAAGAGCGACGAGCCCAAGAGGTCAGTCGCCTTCAAGAAGACCAAGAAGGAGGCCAAGAAGGTGGCCACCCCGAAGAAGGCAGCCAAGCCCAAGAAGGCCGCCTCGAAGGCCCCCAGCAAGAAGCCCAAAGCCGCCCCGGTCAAGAAGGCCAAGAAGAAGCCAGCCGCCACGCCCAGGAAAACCAAAAAGCCCAAGACTGTCAAGGCCAAGCCAGTCAAGGCCTCCAAGCCCAAGAAGGCCAAGCCGGTGAAGCCCAAGGCCAAGCCCAGCGCCAAGCGGGCCGGCAAGAAGAAGTGACCGCGGCCGTGGGAGCCCGGGCCCCGCCGCCCGCCCCGCGGTGTAAATACTGCCCCTCCCTCCCCGTCCTCGCGCCGAGCCCCTGGAGCCCGACCCCGCGGGAGGCCGCCGGAGCCCCCGGGCGCGGGCCGCGCCTCCCCCGACGGGGCGTGCTTCGGGGGTTCGCCCCTCGGCGACTTAGCGGGCTAGGGCTTGGGGTGCGTTTGTGTGTTGTTTAGCTGTGGCGGTCAGGGGCTGGGTGAGAGGGCGCCCGGGGTTGTGGGGCTTGCGGGGGAACCTTGAGGCCAGGGGGCTCTCCGGAAGTTGGTGCCCCTTTCTAGAGTTTCTGAACCTCGGGGGGAGGCAGGGGGCAGGCCTGGATCCCGGGGAGGCAGGTGGGGGGCCGTCCCCGGGCCACTCCACTTCCAGGGGTGAGCGGTGGGGGTCCAGGCCGGTTTCCGCGCCGCCCCTGCGGCCTCGCTATTGTCCTGGGAGGGGGAGGGTCGGTGACAGCCGGCTGGGACGCGCCGCTCCGCGCTCGGCCGGCCCCGGCGGGGGAGGGGTCTCGGTCCGGAGAGCCGGGGCGCGGCGGGGGCCGGTCCGCCAAGTGCCTCGGTGCGCCCTGTCGCTGCAGCTCGGGCCTCGGCGCCGGGGCTGTACCCTCGGGGGGCGTCTCCTTCCTTCCCCTTGACTTTCGGGTTCCTGCTGCCCCAGGCCGCTTGCCTGGGCGTCCGGGGGCCCGGGCCCGGCGCAGGC